GAGAAAACACGAGAAAGAAAATCTGCTCTGCTTACTTGAAACTACATGACACTTTACGTAATCGCCAAAGTTCGCTGGATTTTAAGAGGGTACCGAAATGTCAATGAAAAACCCAAAGAAAAAACACCTTACCGCTGTCGACTTTTTGCTTATGGCAGTATCGGAATTTTGCCAATACTGACTAGGCAATTGCCAGAAGTCTTGGTATTACGAGAACCAACAATCAGCAATATTCTCTACACCTTATTCGGTCTGAGGCCTCCTTTAAGTATAAAGACCCTTTCTCTGTATGTTTATTTCGTCTAATACTGGCCAATCGAGCAATTTCAAGTGGATTTTGCTTACACTGTGCCAAGCAAGTTTCAAGGGCAAAATATGTCTCTGGTCCAAGTTTTTTATCTAAAATACTCCTTCAGAGCTTCTACCTTCTTTGACCTGTCACCTCAAAATGACTGGAACGAATCCTGATAACGATAAGCTAAGCCACTGCGGACAAAACGGCAATAAAAAGCCCGTGTTTCGGTTACGCGTTTTCATAACAGCGAGAAGTACGGGTTTATAAAAACCAGCTAGTACCATCAAACAGACCCCACAATTAGACTTCCTTAACATCATCTTTGGTCTTAGTTTGCAGAACAGTATGTCAGTATCTTCAAGTTTACTGATGAAAACTTTCAGCGCTGAAGTTCCTTTCGGATCCAGAAGTAACATTGGTCTTAAACCAAAGTAATCTTGATAACTGCACAATAACTAACGCTTTCTCAAGGATTTCGTATTGGAAGTGATTCTCAGCAAAAAAACCATTTCCGCCGTATTCATAAATAAAGGCGTGTAAACGAGGATCCAGAAGGCAACAGCCATATTGTTCTTCCTGTGCTTCGCTATTTTCTTGAAGCCAAAGACTTTAGTGGTTGATAGATTTCAGAAAAAAGCCTTGTGACTCCAAAAATTTAAGATTTGAAATTTTATCCGGTTTTGGATACTGTTCAAATTTAGCAACAGAATTTTAAAATATTCTCAAAATGTTTACAGTTTAGTAACATCGCCACTGATTAGATATGCGTAAAATACCTGAGACTGACGCCATACGAAAACATTGCTCAGCTACTCCTGATAGATGGTTCGTGACACTGTCTCTATATTGAATTCTCACAGATTTTTTAAGTCTTTAAAACTGAAAAGGGAAAATGAGATGTTAGATGGACAATATAATACTGGCACTACGACAAAAAAAAAAAAAAAAATCGAGATATTTGAAATAGTTGTAGAAAAAAATGACGGTGAAGGAAAGAGCAGCTAATTCATGTTTTGGTTTGTGGTATGTCAAGATGAGATAGCCTTCATTCAGATTCACCTTGCACAGATTCTCGTAGCAAACTTTGATCGGTACCTTCCTACTTCAAAACTGCCTCACAACTGAGCCACTCAGAAAGTAAAAAGAGCTGTAATAGTAATAGAAAGAACCACTTGCAAACTATACAGAAGCAAACAAGAATTCTACTAAAGTAGTACCCCGTATATTGCTAGCAAGAAAATAGTGAATTCATAACAGTCGCTTGAGCAACCAGACGACAGTCATCTCCATCTTTTTTTACACTTCTGCGATGTAACATTTTTTTTATAAAACGAATTCAGAGATAATTCTCCAAACGTATATTTTGTTTCTCTGAAGTGTGGCAGTTGGATAATCCACTTCACTTACAAAAATTTAAAATCGATTAAAGCTTTATATGAATTTAGGACAACAAATTTACCAGTTGAATTGATAACGCAGTCGAAATACTGGAATTAACAAAAACAAACTTCAGAAAAACCTTGACGAATGATTTGAAACGCACCAAATAGCAATATCTTTTTTTTTTTAATTACAGCCATGACTGTTGTATACTGTGGTACAGCAAGTTAAAACAGTTTTAGAAACAAGAATAATTTCATTGAAAATATGTTTATAGTGAGGGTTCAGGAGCACAGTACGTCGCATCGAGCAAAAGCAGTGAGATACTGCCAGACAACCTTCGAATGTAAACGCATTTACTACTTTCCACCGTGAATCTAGAAAGATCTGAAAAACTGTGAAGCGTAATCTTTCCTAAGCAAAACCGCTCGTGTCTCAGCTGTTTTTCAAAAAACTTCCGATTAACACCGTCTACACTAAACAGCGTCTTCTTCGCTTGTTCCCATGTTGAAATAAGCAGAAAGGTATTTACAAACTCTTCCTACAGAGGTTTAAGAAAAACTACTCTTGCAAAGTATATTTAATAATTTTGGAATGTTTGCACTTTTTAGCTTCGCACTGCCAGTAACAAACACCAGAATCTAGAGGAATGGCATGCCGAACCCTCACAGAATGTCTAAATTCATACCGCCACTGAAACAAATTTAGTAACCCTAGAAATATTAAAATACTAAAACTTTTACAAGCTTTCCACAACCGAAAAGACCCATAAATTCTTCAACGTAGCACTGTTACGTTTAAGTTTTTTACAGAAAACAGTAATGGCCTTGGGTGAGACCCGCGGACATGTAAACGTTCCGCAACGAGTACCAAACTTTCCTACCTAGCAGTTTCAAAGGAAATTATTTGTGCTAATTACAATTCTAAACAAATACAGAAAAACCGCTAATGGCAGAAGCCAACTCCTATCCACTAAAGTATCGAAATCAGTCTCTTAAGCAAGTTGTGACTCACAAATGAACTAAAGTTTAGTGTGCGCCGTTAGTCCGGAAAATATTTTTTTGACGATAGTGTGCAACAACTGAGGCCAATCAGATGACTACACTACTATTCATCAATTCAATTAAAATAAAGTTTACTGCAATAAACTGAAGGTCGATTATTTACTACAAGTCCAAGCTTCAAAACGTCTTCAAAAGCAACCGATCTTAATAATTCTGCACAAAAATTGATGTCTTCAAAACGAAGCTCACAGACTGTTCTCAGCAAATGTGCCTCATTCGAAATAATTCTGTATAAAAATCAATTCTATTACTTTCCAAACACAATGTAAAACCTGAAATTAAAAAAGAATGGTCACATTATATTTGTTATGAATGGTCGCTGTTCTACTCCTGAAGAGAGTGCGTGGTAATTTCCTTAAAAAAGGTTTTCACTTCTGTAAATTCAGAACTGGAGTCTTCATAAAACTCAAGGCATCGTTCAAGTTTCGTGGTGGAAATTCAAGGTAACCACTGTTAAATCACATAGGCATTTGCTGTATTATTCTTGAGTATTCAAAAGATCTGGAGCTTCTTTCACACGTAAATGCCGCTCAATTATTTCCGATACATGGTTAACAAGCGCGTTTTGTCTCTGTATTGAATCGTCACAATTTTTTAAGTCCTAGAAACTTCTATAGATAAGATCAAAACGAGTTTATTGTAACCTCAATAGTGAAAAAACATGTTTTAAAAAACCGAACCTTTTTGTAGCATATATAATTAAGAAAAAAAACTCAGTAGTAGAGTATGAAACTGCTAGTGCACTATACCTCAGTTCGCGCTTCGTCAGGATGAGATAACCTCCATTCAAGCCCAGCTTGAACAAATTCTCTTGACAAATCTTGGCCAGCATCTTTCAGCTGTAAACACTTCTTCATAACAGCATTGTTCAAAACTTTTCTGACAGTGAAGAATAAAACGTTTCGCAGTCGTAAACGCTTAAGAGCATTCTTAATAGGGTAATTCATCTGACAAATCTAACCTGTTTTAGTGTAAATTCAGCGACTTCTTTAATATGCTCAGGACTTGGCGGTTGAAAACCTGGTTTTGCTAGAAGATTGTAGAGCAGTTGATTCCAAGCAACATAAAGATTATCCACTGCTCTAATAAGTTCAGTGTCACCATTGGCTCCTTCCGACAGCAACTGTGATATATTCTCAACGACGGGATTCTAAACAAAAACAGAACTAAGTAGCATATCCCTACAAACTTTAAACAAACCAAATTTCTGACTAAATACACTAGAAATTTAATACACTCAAACTCACCTGTCTCATCCTTATAAACTCCCCTTCACCACTCATTACACCTTCTTGAGATTGAGCCATACGTGCCGGACAATTGATAAACAAATAATGCACACTTTCGGCAATTTTTACAGAGATAAGAGTCGACAAACGAAAAATACCCTCAGATGCACTGATGTGCAAGCACCGCCTCCAAACAATAAACTTCGACAGCCTAAACAACTTGAAAAATGTTGTACGGAGAAACAACGAATTTAAAGAATCAGTTTACATAAACAACGTCCAAAACATTATAAATTAAGTCCCAGCTGAACAACAAGTATAAATCTAGAGGAAAATAAAACACATCAGAGGTCGTTCTGCTTTCCCAAAAAGAGAAGGCAAATAAAGGAATGCTGTATCAGAACATATCGCTCAACGTCTTGCAAACGCATCCACTCCTATGAAAGAAACACCCTATCATTTGCAGACCTCTCTATCCACACTTTATTGCCAGCATCAGGAGAATGAAAAAAGTCACTGATCTATCAAATCACTACGGTCACTACAGTTATTACCTCGTAATAACTAAAACAGCATAGCCAAGAAATATTCAAATGAAGGAAACACCACGAACTAAGGTAACATAGCATAAATTTTTAGTTTACCAACATAACAGCAGATCATAAAAGAGGGCAAGAACATGAAAGTGTGAAATGAATACAGCTGTATACAACATTTTTAATAAATATTCTGCTCAAACTGTATAACAGGCTGGCAAAAAACAATAAGGAGAACAAAATATAGCAGAGAAGCATAAAAAACCATTCAAATTATTTGGATAACTTATTCAAAATCAACAAAAAAAGCAAGAACCTAGCTCAAAAATAGCTAGAAACGACAACTAGGCGCCAATTTATATTTTAAAAAAAATGATTTAAAAGGAAATATTAAGGGAAATCAATATCACTATTGAAGAAACGTTCAAACGTCAAACACAACAAATTAATCTGCAATCAGAAAGCGGATGGTACAGGTACAATCAGCAATTTTCCAACTTCTTCTACAAGCTAATGCTACCATCTCTAAAATTTGACTTTCCAATAATGACATTCATAATCACTGAATTTCCTTTCAAGACCTCCTCCACTGCCGCCTTGAAACGGAAGCCCAATCTTTCCTCCTCGGTTCCATCAATGTATTCGCCTTTAGCATCAAAAGCTTCAGCAATGCGTTCGTAATGGGAATGCTGGAAATCGGGAAAAGATTAAAAAATAGTTTTTTGAGCGAGGATAGCTAATTTGGATATATTAGTGAAGTATTCAATCCGTACAGAAAGACAAACGGCAACGTTGCTATTAAACATCGACATTTGATCCCGGGCAATCTGAGACCAGCATGCATCATTACCAATTATCGCTCCAACAGAAAATCTGTGTCGAGAATAAGTATCAAATTCTATCAGTGAATATCCGCAAGCTCCATCTCCAAAAATAATGAAGACCGGACGGTCAGGAAACACCTAAAGGACGTTCATAAGGTGTACAAAACGTGACAGTACCTGGTAAAGAAACCTAATAAAAGAAAAATCTTGCCAAAAGTTTTATACAAACCACTTTCGCGCCAAGAGCAAAACCACCACCAACGCCAAGAGTACCAAATGCCCCTGGATCAAGCCATCCCAGAGGAGTTCTCGCGCGCACTATATACGCAGCACTACCAACAAAATCGCCTCCATCAACAACGAGAATAGTATTTTCCGGTAAAACCTAGCTAATCAATTTTAGTGCTGGAAATACCCTACTCAATAAAGAAACTCATCTTTCAAATATTTTTGGAATTCAAACAAACTTTATCCACAACATGAAGTACTCTCAGTGGGTTAAGTTTCCCCTCTGGAACTGGTTCTTTGGCTTTCTGTTCATTTGCGTTACACTTTGCAACCTCCCGATCACTAAGCGTCTTCAGCCAATCTGCAGGACAACCCTTGAAATAAATCAAAATTTCAAAATAGAAAACCAAAATAAAATGAAAAACTAAGTTTAAAAAGAGTATTAGAAGAGATATTATCTCCATAATAAGCAAAAAACTCTTACAACCTAGTGAAAATGACTAACCTTGTATGCTCGTTCAACCAAAATTTCATTCAGCATTTTTAATGAAGAGGCTACATCTGCATCAATAAAAGAAGTTGCCTTCCAGAAAATACCTTCGTTTAGCCGTGCTTGCCCTTTGCTACGATTAATTGCTATTATTTTTCCATGCGACGGCAAAGAGCGACCATATGCAAGACGAAAGTCACACACCATCCCTACAAAATTTTAGATTTAGGTTGAATTCTGAAACAATGAGTCGCACTGAAGAGGTAAAAAGTGAGTTCCGTAATTAATAACAAACCGGCCAAAATCACTAAATCAGCTTCTTTGAGCGCTTCCTTCCGATTTTGCCTCATTTGAAGTGGACTACTACTTCCCAACAACCCCCGTGCCATACCTCCAAGATAGGTCGGAATTCCCAAAGACTAAATTGAATCTATCTTGATATTTGACAAAAGCAGGAAACTATCAAAAAAAAGTATGTCTTATCAAGAAGGACCATCTACCTTAACAATGGCTTGAAGATCATCGGCTTTGATGGGAGGAAGCAAAGCCTGACTGCCGATCAGAAGAAGCGGTCGTTTTGCATCCATGACAAGATCAGCAACCTTACAAATTATTGGCTTTTCTGCATAGCTAATGATCGGAGGGATCTCTGTAATTGCCCTCTCAATCCACGCTTGCGAAAACAACTGTGAGAGATGGTACCTTAGGTAGAAATTGACTATATTCTGAAAAAGAGGCAGATACTCAAAAACAAATAGATTAACAAAATTCCTCAACGGCTTTCACTGGAAGCCACCAAAAAACCTTAAGCCATATTTTTTCAAAACTTACTACCCCTCATCCTAGATATGACATGGAGATTTTGAATACCAGCAGTTACTGTACGTCAGCTTGTACCTGTGTTATATTCTTTGGATGAGATATGAAGCCCATTTCTTTCTCAATGATTTCGTAAGGATAAAGCAGGTCAACTGGTAATTCAACAAAAACCGGACCAGGTGTACCACTTTTAGCTATCCAAATCGCTTTCCGCAACTTCTTGACTATATCAAGAACTCGAGTAACACTGGTGTAATATTTACAAACAGGTTTGAACAGTGACAGCTGGTCGATATCCTGCAGCGAAAAATCTCAGAATTACTATTCGACTTTATTCTTTCAATAGAAAAAAAA